GTAATTTCGTCACTAACTGGTTTTCAAGTCAACGTCCTTTTAGGGCCCAATGCTGGTCCCTTGGGTCGTACCCCACTAGGCGGGCGGAACTGGGAAGGCTTCTCCGTTGACCCGTATCTGGCCGGACAACTAAACGCCGAGACCATCATTGGGCATCAGGAAGCCGGTGTGATCGCCAATCTGAAGGTAGGCTATCAAGAAGGCTCGCTCACTGATCCATGTTTACAGGCCACGATGGGCTAATGTACGCCAGCAGCATTTCATTGGAAACGAGCAAGAGACTTTCAGAAGGCCATACTTTGGCGTGGAGGCGGCCTCATCTAATATTGATGATAAAACCCTACACGAATTCTATCTTTGGCCTTTCGTCGATGGGGTTAGAGCAGGAGCGGCATCGATAATGTGTTCATACAACAGGATCAACAACACATACGGCTGTGAGAACAGCAAACTATTAAACGGAATTTTGAAGACGGAAATGCAATTCGAAGGCTTCGTTCTTCTCGACTGGAACGCACAGCACAAACTAGAGAGTGCCAATGCTGGTTTAGATATGGTCATGCCCCTAGGAGGAAACTGGGGCTCGAATCTCACTAGAGCAATCAGTAACGGAACGGTGGATGATTCAAGGATAGACGACATGGCAACAAGGTACATTGCTGTTATCTCATTCTCACAGCTTGGAGATTGCATGTGACTAACGTTCGTCAAGGATCCTTGCAGCCTGGTATCTTGTTGGTCAAGACCACGACTTTCCAACTCCTGGCATTGGCATGAAAAACCTGACTGAGCCGCACGATCAAATCGATGCCCGTGATCCTAAGGCGAGGCCAACAATACTCAGTGGAGCTCTTGCGGGCCACGTATTAGTGAAGAACGAAAATAGTTCACTACCTTTCAGCGGAGCTCCGAAGATGATGTCTATATTTGGATATGATGCAACGGTACCTGCGACAAAAAATACCGACAAACTTTTTGAACTTGGATACTACTCCTCTCCCGAGATGGCACAGGCTGTACTGGGAACAGAAAGGCATTTCGACCAGGCAGCCAAGGGGGGGACCATTGTCAGTGGGGGACGTGCTGCAGCCAATGCGCCTTCATACCTACTCGATGTAAGCACCACACTCTCCCAGATAAGTGTTTTTGGGCTGACATGGCTCTAGCCTTTGAGTTCGCTACAGCATAAAGCCGCAATAGATGGCACTTGGGTCAATTGGGATCTGGTGTCTGGACATCCCGATGTCAATGCTGCTAGTGACGTTTGCCTGGTTTTCATCAACGCCATGGCAACCGAAGGATGGGATCGAGATGGCTTGCACGACGATTTCAGTGATGGCCTCGTCTTGAGTGTAGCTAACAAGTGCGCCAACACAATTGTGGTCGTTCATACAGCCGGCATTCGCCTGGTCGATCAGTGGATTGATCACCCAAATGTTACGGCTACAGTCATCGCCCATCTGCCGGGTCAAGACAGTGGATCAGCCCTTGTTAAGCTCTTGTATGGTGATGCTTCATTCTCTGGGAAGCTCCCGTATACTTTGGCGCGAAACGAAAGCGATTACCCAGTGTACGCACCTTGTGGGAGGCAGGCAAACACCACCAGTCCCCAGTGTGATTTCACTGAAGGCGTTTTCGTCGACTATCGCGCCTTCGACGAAAGAGGCATCGAGCCAAGATTTGAATTTGGCTTCGGCTTGACATACACAGAATTCACCTACTCTTCCCTACTAGTCAAGACACAGAATGCCCTGATAGGCCCTGCATTGAATAGCAATGCCTTGTGGGAGGTGATACTGAATGTTGAGGCATCATTCAACAACACTGGCAATCGTGCTGGCGAGGAAGTTGTGCAGTTATACGTCGCAATCCCCAACAGCCCCCCGAAACAGCTTCGAGGCTTTGATAAGGTGTCATTGGAGATGGGAGACAGTGCCACCGTTCAATTTGAGTTGACACGAAGAGACCTGAGCATTTGGGACGTTGTGGCTCAAGCTTGGACGCTTCAAGATGGCAATTACACCATCTTCGTAGGAGCAAGCAGCCGAAATCTGCCACTTCAATCCTCCTTCACATTGTGATTGAGTGGAATATAGCATTAGTACGTTAAGATTAAGCCAATGATAGCGGATCTCATGAATCACTCCGAGTTCCTACGACTGAGTAGCTATCGTTGAACATCCTTGACGATTTTACCAAAGTTCTATGTCTCCGGCCGATAAACGACCTGGACTTGCGAAAGCTGTTTGTAGTTGACTGATGTATTGCATATGGTTTGGATTGGAATAGTCGCAATGTTCTGGGGACAAAGTCGTAGACACGATCGCTAGCTGAACGCGCGTCTGGGCGATAGACAGAACTTACCGTGAGTAACATGCGCTTTACACATCATAGATCTAGGTAGCATGTACGTATTGTATAGCCAAATACAGAAATCTACCTGTTCATACGTTGATGCTGGGACGTTGCTTCTATTTGAATTTTTTACTTCTTGTTACAGAATTTATGTTTCAGCCTTATCGTACATACTGAGTGCCGGCCTCTATTAGCACTATTAGTCGTCCTACAAACTACAGGGCGACTGCTTTTTTTCCTTTCACCTTTCATTACCAAATTTTCATTAGCATTAATTCATCTTAATGCGTCAACAAAGCCCATGGCAGTTGGAACGAGGTTTTAAGTTGTAAGATATGAAAGGGGGTTTCAAAGCCCAGTGCGTATTTCCTGGCATACATGGGGTAATGGAACTGGCTAGGCGTCAGACACCAGAAATATTGAACAGCCTTTTCAATGTAACTAAGGTTTTAGTGGGATGCAATGCACCGGAAAACTATCTGCCTGATTTGACACTCAATCAAAGATCAGGCAGCCCAGCGACGTGCGCACGCCCGAGGCACACCACACACATTTTACTGGCTCAGATGGTATTCTCAACAGTGAAGCGGGCCAAGGCGAGGCGAGCAAATATGCTGCAAATTAAGGGGGGTACGAAGCCTAACTTGGCTGAGCCTCTGCAGCTGAAGGTAAAACTAGGAGATTTCGAAGAACGGATGACTTTTGGATAACAATTAGACCAATTCCGATCCGGGACATCTGTGAATGCAAACAGGTATCAGGAGGTCATCTCGTTAGGGTTTGACTATCTAGTCACTTTGTCCAAAGCCTCTCTGTTGTGCCGGGCGCTTGACTGATCGAAAGATACTCACTCCCCTACCATAGATCTTCCTAGGTACTATCTCTTGACTTCAGCGTTTTGGCAGTCCGTCCGCTATTGAGCCGTTGATACTCCCATACCGAAGCCCACACTTTGCATTTCGGTATAAGAAGATGAAATACATAGTTCTTCGGCTTTTATATTAGTGTAAACGTACTTACCTACCTGTGTGAGCATATCTGACTAGGTCGGTTCCGAACGAGTTGAACCCCACCGGTTTGACTAAGGAGATAGCAAAGTACTGTTTGAATGAGGGTCACTTTCAGTTAGGCAAACTTTGATTCCAGGAGATGATGTGAATACCCAAAGATTGTCGAGGACCTTGCAGTTATTCTCCTCGAAATCCGACATCCCTCCAGGCTCAGTAAGTCAAACCCCCCACTTCCTGGCACCCCCCTGTTTCTGGCACCCACAAAAACGATGGGATCACAACCCAACCTCCTCATTACTATTAACTATTGATCCTCAACCACACCCACTACAATACAACTGCCAGCCTCACTAGGGCATTCAGAGTCGCTGGATTCAGCCGTAATAACCTCCTTTTCACCCGCTTCGATTTGAGCCCGATGGATATCCCTGATGTTCGCAAACTGTTCGCAAACTTCGTGTTGGGATCGATCTGAACAGTCTTCCTCTTCCTAACTGCAGCGTTGGTAACTTGAGCCCTCAGGTGAGCCAGCTGCTGCTGGGCAGCTGCCAGTTGCCAGGCCTGCTCTGTGAAGCCTTTTTTCACCTTCCTGAACAGCAGCCGTTGAGTGCTGGTATCATTGTCGAGTTGGGTGTATAAGTGCAGTTGACCGCTGAGCTCTGCCAGCTTCCTGGGTGTCGACCAGACCACTGCAGAGGAAGCAGAATCCCATGGCTCAACAGGGGTAGTTTGTTGACCATTATGGCATCGCTTTTGCCCCGACTGGTTGGTTTGGGTGTGGTGGGCTTAGCAGAAGGCTCAGGTAATACCATAGGGTTCATCAGGGGCTTAACCATCGCTACAGGGTGTAGACCAGTCCACTTCCATGTTCTGAGACTGATAGACCAGCAAGTCGAGCCTTCTGGTAACAGTCCAGGAAGTTCCTTTTACCTATAATGGTAGAGTCGTTCCATTGAGACAAGTAAACTGAGCTCCTTCCGATAGGCTGACTTAACAGGGCTGAAGACAGACTGGTCAAGTGGCTGGAGGACACAGAGGAGTGTGGTGGTAAGAACAGTAAATGGATATTGTTAATATAGCAATTCCACATGAAGTCTGTCGTCGTATGACTCCCATGCCCATCCACAATCAACAGTCGAGCCTCGCCCTCAGCCTCGGGCATAGTCTGTGGGATAAACACCTTCTCTAACCATTCAATGGCAGTTAAGTCTGTAGTCCAGCCATTATCTGTTGCTGTAAACTCACCCATCGTATGGAACCAGATGTAATGGAAACCACTGTTGTTGGACCGTCTTCCTTGAAAATGATAAGAGGACGAAGTGCCCTACCCAAGGCTGAGATACACTCAATGATAGAGACCCATGCCCTCGACCCAGGTTGTTTTTGCGAACAGACGTCGTCTCAGCCATGCCCAGCACTAACCCATTAGCTCTCTGACCCTCGAGGATGCCAGTCTCATCCATATTATATCTGTTGGCTGGTTTGATGTCCTTGATCTCAGGGATAGCAAGGAACTTAAACCAGTTCCTAATGACCTCAGTAGATGCCCCATTAACGCGTCTAGAATCGATGGAACGACTTCTCTGAACCTTAATGATAGGGTTCCTTCTCACGAAGGCATAGATCCAGCCTTTCCTAATGGTTTGGTATCCCCAGCAGCAGCCAGAACTCGCTCTGCGAATTCCTTCACCTGTTGGTGCGTTGGTGAGGCCCAGCGAAGCCTGAATGCGAACCCATTGTGCCAGCTTACTCTCCTGGTCAGGAGACAGCCTCTGCCAGTCAGCAAAAGCCACTTTCCTAGTCTGACCACCTTGGAGACGTAGTTGGAGGGTTGATCGTGGTATCCCATACTCCAATGAGGCTCTCTTTTGACTCTTGCCGTTTGAGATGTCCTCGAGAGCCTGACGAAGCTGATCTTCGGTATATTGAGGCATTAGATATAGAAGAAGGTATGTGCAAAAAATGAGCCCATTTGGACTCGAATTGAAAATGTTGTGATAAAAGGAGGTTGGGGGTGGGCATTGCGTTGTGGTGGATTTTCGCGTTTTTGTGGGTGCCAGAAACAGGGGGGTGCCGGGAAGTGGGGGGTTTGACTTAAAGCCTAAGTCCTGAACGCCAATTCCTGGTGTACCGCATGTGACATTGTGTAAGCGGCCTGTTACTTGCATCAATTTCTCAAGCCGGCCTCGTGAAATCGTGGCTTGCAATAGGTCACAGTTTACTGAGAGGGTGTCAAGCATGCATCTCCTGCCAACAGAGCCTGCAGATATAGTGAGAATAACGCGGGGTATTCCCCGTAATACGCGCCATTGGGAACGAATGCATGATTACTGCATGCGGGCTGCATTCGCCAACGACAAGTACAATGCATATGAACTACGTACGATTATTGGGCTCATGATATCCCACGGCACCTGATTGACGAATGGCTTTTCCAGGGCAACCAATCGCTGCGTAGTTCGGTGTGAAAATGTTGCGAGAGCTTGCTGCGCTTCCACGTGGCACCCACAACAACAAAATCGATAGGTGTGCTCCAGCTCGACCTGAGCCTTCTTAGAGGCAAAACTTAGAGCCCAACGACGAAAGACAAAGAGAATTATCGAATAGGGAATAGAAGATGTCATATTTGAGAGTAGTCATCATTGCGCCGTGACTCGAGAGCAAGTTTGTTAAAAGCCCGTCGTGTCATCGTGCCTTCCGAGTCTATCTCCCTACCTCACTCGATCCAGTAGGATTGCTATTAGCCATGGACACTGCCGGATGGTCCCCAGCCTTGCCGCTTGATCAGCCCGGCAATAACAATCTAGAGACCTTTGTGGGACATACACAGGATGTAGGTCCCGAGGTATCGTAAGTTTGCTCTAATACCCTACATTGGGATCTAGCGTCTTTGGCTAACGACTCTTCAAAGGCCATACGCAAGTCCGACATGCAATGTCTACTTCGAGAGTGGCCAGCCCTTCCGGGTACCCAGCAACCTTCTTTGTCAAGAACTTGAGAACATACGCCTTCGAAGCCATGGCGAAATACGATTGAAGCATATACCAGATGATGCAGGCCATGTACTCATCCACTTTCTCCATACGGGATCTTGGCAAACCTTGCGGGCCAGAGATTCCAGCGACACACCGAAGAATGCCACTTATCTTGGCACCAGCCTATATGTATATGCCGCTTCGCAGGCATACAAGATTCCACTGCTAGCCGAGCTTGCAAAAGAACACATTTCCCTCTCCGCTGAGACTCTACCTGCCCTGGAGGTTCTTTCTCTAGCTTCGGATGCTTGTCACTCTCTCGGAGAAGATGACCCATGGTTCTCAGCATTCATTAAGCGACGTATCCGTCACCTGTTCGAAGACTCATCTTCGCTGAACAAAACCGGTCTCTTAGGGTGTTTCGACAACGCAACAACATACTCTAAGCTGTTAGTCAAGAGCTTGATCGAAATCTGCTGCGATTACTCGATTTCCGTCAATCCAAGCGAGTCTCAACCGTCGCCTCGGATTGTACCCACGGTTGCGTCCAAGCCAGTTCCTGTTCCTTGGTCGGAGACGGCTGAGCCAGAAGTGGACCTGAGCGGAGAATTGACCTTGGAATCAGCCCTGGGAAACAGTCTGACATCGACCTCGAAGAAAGACAAGAAAAAGAAGAAGAAGGGTAAGAAGTTGGACGAGGCCCTGGCTGAGCCTGACGTGGTGATTCCCAGAGATGCTGCAGAGTACGTGACCAATGGCCGGCATTGAATAGTTGATAGTCGGTCAAGATATCAAATTGAAGTGCATCGTTTCCAGATTCGAGTCTTTGTCTAAACCTCGGTGATGAAGTTCTGAAGTCCATTGATATGTATACTCAGCTACCGAAACGGCCATGGCGGGTCAGTTCGAAACATCAAGTCCAAACGCAGAGTAAGTGCCAAAGAGTGACATAGACATGATTATTTGAGTCTGTTCCCTTCACTGCTGAACATACTACTAGTAGACTGATGGGATGAATTGCAATTGATATTACTTCCTTGCTGCAATAATGACAGGCATTATCACACGTCCTGAGCATCGTTCCCGACATGAAGCTTCTTTAAACAGAGAAATCCACCATCGCCTTGCATTCGCACCTCAAGTGAATACGAGAGACACTCTGGGATTTATGGCCTACGTTTGGTCTTCCGGATGGAAAACAAGAGCTCGAACCTCTATGCTTTCTCTTGGTGGTGCATCCGAGCTTGCCGTTGGATCAACGAAAGCAGTGTGGGGAACTCTTCTAGCTCTTCCGTCTGTCTTGCTGTCGAAGCACTTAATGAGAATTACTTCATTAGGTGTGAGACCATTTTTGTAGTACCACTTGTGAGCATTGCTATGTCTCACTGCGTATGTTTCTCCTCGCCGATCAGGGTAAATCAGTTCGGTCGCGACTAGATCTGACTCGGCGACAGACCTGGCGTCCGCAATGGCGAGTGGGTCACGCTGAACTGTTTTGATAGGCCTCCAAACGTTGATGATTTGCACTCGACCTTTGAGCAAGTTGTCGGCATCATCTGGGAGGTGGTGAGGAACCCGGGAAAGAGCGGCCTTGTAAGATTGGTCAATATGAACTCTTTGCACGGGTCCGCGAGCTGCTCGTGCTTGTGCTGCTGGGCCAGGTAGCTGCCGGCGAATAGTATGGTCAAAGATATAAACGCGACTAGCACCCGTCCTACATAAAACTTATTAGTTGAGACGACGGCAGGATAGGATTGGTCCCGTGAAGTCTTTCCAAGAATGCCATACTCACACGGCTTTTAGAAGTTCTTCAACTTCGGCGTAGTAGGACGACCTGATCTGATCATCGTCTTGAAACTGCTTTTCAGTCGACGGGCTGTGATGAATTTGAAACCCATTTCTATCGAGAGAAAACTCTTCTTCATCGCCTGTGAGGTCGCTGATCGTCACAGAGTGGGATTCAAATGGCCGGTCATATGTCTCTGGCCTGTCAACGTATGTAGGATGCGGAGGTGATCCATCCTCGTTGTCTTTGTGGTAGTTCAGTGTTGCTTCCACTCCCTTGCGCCTTTGATTCGATTCGCGCAGATCATTCGCTCTGTGGCGTTGAGTGTGTTGAGGAGAGCTCAGCCCTGGGGGGAAAGGGACGTTCTGAACTTCTAATGCTGCCATGGTCGGTTCTAAGTAGGATTTATAGTCGTACTGGGGTCATAGGGGTACATCAATATCAGCAGTATGGGCAGCTCAAAAGTCGCAGCCAAGCTCCAACTATAAATCATTTTCTACGGGCCACCTGAACTTTGTTCTACCCTAAGTCCACATGGTCTCCTCTGGCACGCAATATTTGTCCGGCCATGGGCAATTTGTGGATTGATAATCAACCTTAGCCGAATCACATGGTGTGACCATACTCCAGCACCAATTGGTTCAAGGTTTGACTGTGAAAGAGATGATATGACACCCATGCGGTTGTGATTTCAAATCTGCATGGGCATCACCCCAATTAAGCTCGGTCAAACGTGCCTCGGCCCAAGTTACGGTTGCGGAGTAAAATGGTGTCATCGTTGTAACCGTCCGCATTGATAATCACAGATCCTTGCCAGTGCACCTCATTTGCTGTAGAGAGACTTTGGTTATTGCTAGGGAGAGATACAAGCGGGATCAATACTCCGAAAGCGATTTCCAAGCAAACGTTGGAACCGACACTGAATCATAAAGCACCTAGTTGAAGTACTATTTGGGTGCGCAAGGGAAATGAGATCACGCCTATGTGCCTTAAATTCGGCAACTTACGAAGGTGTGGTCCTCGATCGCTTTCTAAATATCTACATGGACGAGTTTTGTAATTGTTGTTCCATCACTCAAAATCTCTTCCTTTTCCTCAATCTTATAACCTCCCCAACGCGGCAAAGCGACTGTCCAGACATACCAATACATTACTCCGGCTGTGAGACTAGTAGATAGCAGCGTCAGTCCCCAAAAATCTACGGTCTAGTCGGAAGTCTCACTTACATGCTCACACCAATGATTGCATAAGTGGCGTAAAACAATCCGTTTGGTGGCTTTGTATCTGGCGGGAAAAAAGGTGCCGCAAGTAATGCTATGCTCAGGCCGATTCGTATGATTACAGCTGGAACAAATGCCTTGAATGGGCGTTTGATATCGGGACGTTTGACGCGAAGCCACAAAAGCCCTGCTGCAATGGCCAACGCTAGAATTTGACCGGGATAGCCTTCAACCTCCAGGATGAACGAATACACGTCCCTAGAGGGAGGCAGCGTAATGACCAGAAATGAAGGAATGTAGTGAACAAAGAGCCCGCCTAGAGGTGAGTTGAAGGGCTTTGTAGATGACAGTATGTCCGAAAACGGAAGAAAGCCTTGTCTGGCAATTTCTTGTTTTGTGCGCGCCTAAAGTCATCGTATAAGCACCGTATGCGCAACAAGCTGACAGCACAGAGAGATCCTACCGCAGAAAATGCAACAACGAGAACATTCGCTCCTGCACTTAAAGCAACTGCCAGAGGAAGGACCCTTTTACCAACTCTCTCACCAAAGATTCGCTCAAAGAATAGGGCCGCTATTAGCTCGCCGCTCTGTTTTATCTCATCGATAGGAACGACGAGAAAGTATGCCACATTGATAAGTGCGTAAAGTCCGCACGCGGTTGTCAATGCCGCCATCGTCACAGATCGCAAGGTCCGAACTGGGTCTTTGACCTCATTCAGGACGTAGTTGGCGTTGTCAAGCCCCGCGTATGAATAGAAGACTTTGAAAAGGGATGTAGCAATTACACCCCAATTCCAGTTGGTGTTTTCCCACAGGTCTCCCCATCCGAGCACTCCAGTAGTCTTCTGGGCAGATTCTTCCGTTGGCCGGAACAAGACAACGTAGAGACCTGAGAATATCATGAAGACAATCAGAGCAACCTTGATCCAACCCAAAACGTTTTGCAGCCTGATACCGAAACGTGGGAAACAACCATGAATCAGGGTAACAACTGTGAGGAGTCCAACTGCAATACCTTTTCGAAGGAGATCACTGGGGTTATCGCCCCCTAGCGCAAATAACAGATACTCGCTAAAAACGATGCAATTGCTCGCTGTAAATCCCAGAAGAACGGCTTGGATGGCGATGAGGGTCGATGCTAGGAATCGAGGTCGACGATACGTGAATTCTAGGTACACTTTATCTCCCCCAGACCGTGGCAGCATCGAGCCAAACTCTAGGGAGATCATCAACCCGCATGCAGCGATTATTGCGCCAACAATCCAAAGCGAGAGTGACAGACCGGGGCTCCCAACTGAGCGGAGAATTGCGCCCGGAGTAGCAAAGATGCCGCTGCCTATCACTCTTGAGATGACAAGAATGTAGGCGCTTTGCCAGGTCAACGTGCGGCCGAGTGTGGATGTCTCTGGAAGCACATCGTCTTCAATTGAGCGTGATGGGTATGTCAGCCCAGTCCCAAAATCTTCTTCATTCGGCTCATCGGTTCTGGTTACGAGCTGCTTGGTATCTAAGCTTCCTGAAGACGACAAGTGTTGTGGCGTAGATGGGATCAGCGGCTGCAACTCCGGGTCATCGTGGCTACTCATGTCGCTGAATGGCGTCGCTGGACTGAGGCAGTATGAGAGCGCGAGTTGGGTTATTACTGAACTAGGCAGTGGGAGCGCGCAAACCAAATGTAACAGACTTAACTTGGCAGCCTTCGTGGAACTTCAGTTGAATATATAATGAGTATCAAGATAACGTTGTTCACCAATGAAGTCAAGCAATAGCGACATATCTTGTTGACATGGTTCGGCTGTCCGGCTTCGCGGGAAAGATGCGCGTTTGACAGGGAGCCTGGGAGGTGTCATCGGCCTCGGGCGCGTGTCCACGGACATTGATGCTTGATAAGAATGTGGGTACATCCTGTCTTGTGAGGCGTGTCTCTCATGGTGTAATGTGTTTCAAGAAGTAAGTTTTGGTCACAGGCCTCACCAAATGCCCGTCCTGTTTTGAACACGGATTCGCACGCCATCATTGCGCAACCTGACGAAAATCGGGGGTGTGATTATTCAAGATGGCACGTGAAAGGACCCAACCACCATTGCCCCAACTGAAATTTGGCCCCCAATTTTGGGGGCCTGGACCCGGGTGCCCGGCTACGACTCCGCGGTAGCAAACTCCGACCCATAAGGTACGTAAAGGCAAGATCGTTCTCGAGTGATGCAGCGGCCAAAGCGCTTGCGTTGTCTTTAACTAATTCTTATCAAAGTTTCGGCATTGTTACTTGACGTGTACCTGAGATAGATCAGTGAACACTAAGCATCAACCTCCCCGTTATGCCGAGAAACCTTACCTGAACTTGAACTCAGATGCACTAATGAAGAATGTTATTTTTGTTCTTCGCCATATCTGTGACGCCTATTGTAAGTCTCTCGGTATACGTTTGTTGTGCCTGATTTCCGATTGCACCAGCAATGGGTGGTCATCGAGAAGCTTTTTCAGACTGGAGTGTTATTCAGTACGGCTTAGTAAGATGGCTTCGTACTAGCCGCAAGATGATATTGCGTCAGAGCAAGGAGTTGAACCTCTTCGGCATGTCTCCAGTATCCTTAATGTGTCGATGCGATTCGTGACGTTTAAACGCTGCTTCGTATCAAGAGATGACATGTGGGAGCGTCAATTTTCCGTCAGGGAAACGCTTCAATGAGAGGATCATCCACACAAACACTCAGCTCGCAGAGCTTTTGAGGGTCTCGGAAATATACCAAGATCTCGTAGACCTATGGTTCCACTTAATAAGCAAGAACTCCAATGTGCGGCTCAGATCTGTGCTGCTACAGGCTAGACCTGATTGGCCGGATCCGGGTTGGCACTCATATTTTGCCGCGCCGGGCCCGCCTAGGATCTATTCCAATGCCCTACTCCTGTGAAAAACCTGGTTTCTAATTTTTCCCTCCTCGCCTGAGATTCTGATACAGATATTGCCGGTTGTCGCTTCATTCGGGCTGGGCTCTTAAATTTCTCTGGCGAGGCCTATAGAGCCTGGAGACTTGCGGCAACTCCAAGTCATCTGGATGACCGGTATACCAAGTACCTTGAGGTCGCACTAAGGGAGGTATCTACAGTATACATGGATCGACTCCAAGCTATCCTTCTGATAGTCAGAAACATTTCATTCGCTGAACTAGAATCCTCCTTCAATTGTTGTGCAAGCGAGAGTCCCTGTCACTTTAGCCTTATTTGCTGCTAATACGGCTTTGTAGAAAGACTTGAAGCGATTTGAAAGTCGAGATATTCCAGATTCTATTGAATCCGGGTCGAGTTATTCGTGTACGACACGCACTCTTCATTTCGGCTCACCTATTAGGCATTGACCTGCTGCCGACCTCACTCAGCTACCTACCTATCACTAGAACAAGACTTCAGGATTTGGTAGTCCAGGATTACAGTTACGTATAGCTCCCTGCTGCCGCTCGACTCGTGGCTATGACAAGGCATGAACACATCGAAGAGGGGATAATCACAGCAAAAGGTTGCGTATGTACTAGGACTGGAAGGAATCATTTTGAGATTAGGTGCATGTGAGGCCTAGTGTGGAGAGAATTTACCTAGGCTGCAACCATCAACCGCCCCTAATTCAGCCCGTTTCTACTAGCACGAAGCCTCGCTGATCCATAGCTCTCAGCCGCGCTTAACTAACGCTCCTTCCACTATTGAGGGCCTACTTTTGTTACTTTTGTGGAGATGCAGGACCTTGGTCCCGCTGCTAACCTTAGCGCTCGTCAGCACTACCAATCCACAAATCAAGTGCGCAGTGCAAACATGGGGATCGTGTATTTCGGGAGGGCGACCTCGGCGCCCCTTCCATCATCTTCCTTCGTCGTGTTTTGCCAGTGGCTGTATGTGAAGCATGCCAAGACTGTCCTTTAAGCTTCTTACTAGAATAGTCTCGGCTTTTGGTTTGAGCCCTATGAATACTAGGGGCCCAAGATCAGGTAAACAAATTTCACAGAAGGGGGTCCTTCAATTCATAAACGTTGAGAATCTCCCGAATCTTCTGTTGCCAGATTTCCGTGAACTTATCAAATTGCAAAATGGAGTTTGGTTCTGGCGGTAGTTTGCTTCCTAGCTATCGAAAGCCACTTCCAAGTGAGCAGGTCGAACGTGTGACCTCAGATGCCCGGCTTCCTCTGGTTTCTCCCTCATCTTCCCCCAGCTTTACGGCCGCTATACATCCTCAAATCCCCATTTTTACCTCTCAATCCGATCAAGCCTCTCCAGAGCACCATACCATGAAGAACTGGGTAGAGACGAAGGCTTCGCCAGCGGCAGAGGGACATCAGATCCCTGAGAACATCGACGCGCCACCATTGCCTCTGCCACCCGTCCTTAAAGCTCAGTACCGGAAACGTCTTGTCTGGTGGGCCGTTCGATACTGTGTGATTGTCGTCGTCATCTTCGTTGCATTTCTTATTCCTCTCATTACATTGAGCAATGATGCAGACTTAGCCGACGACTCCACACCACAATCAATCCAGGACAAACAATACCGCAACCTGGTTTTTTACATCAGCTTATGGCTAGAGGTAACCTGGGTGGCAGCGGTTTTCTTCGATCTTCTGGGACTCAGCTTGCCATATTTCTTTAGGTTTCTTGCTAGGTCAGTTCACGAGTTACCAAGAAATCCATGGCCAGGCGGTTAAAATGAATCTACCTAGATACATCAACTCTTCCCATCAGAGGTACTGGAGAATTCTGAAGTTCATGCGTCGCCCGATTTGCTTTCTAGGCACGACTATTGTCACCTTTATCTTCTTTGCTGCTGTAAGTCATGTTCATTCAAACGCAATCTCCGTGGCGGTGTTAATAATTGCTGTTATCCTAGTGTATCAACACAAATGAACTCCTTGCTGTAAACATCAACAAGGATCCGAACACATTTGGGTGGGACGATGTTGTAGCCGACATTTTAGAACAGGCTACACTTTGGGTGGCCTTCTATTTCGTCGAGAAACTATTGATATCCTACATCTCCGTACATTACCACTATCGAGCAAATCACTCCAAGCTTACTCGCACGAAAGATCTCCAGAACGCCCTAATCACACTTTACGACGCATCGATATACCTCCACCCTTTCCATCGTGGCACTTTCGACGAGGAGGATATGATTATCCGCAATGCCAATGGAGGAAGCCATAAACAAGAGCGGATGAGGGTTTCAAGCTACCTTGCTCGACTCGGCCTTGACGGCTACAAACTTGTTGGACTATTCGGAAATTTCATTTCTGATGACCCTCATGCCCATTGGCTGCGTCCAGCAAGTACCTACGCTATCATAGAGCGTGCTTGGGGAAATGAAGACTCGGCGACTGCACTTGCAAGGCGGATCTGGTTTTCATGTGTTGCTCAAGACAAATTTGGCTTGACTCTGATTGACATCAAAGAAATTCTTGGTCCCCACCGCACGCCGGAAGCCACCAAAATCTTTGCCACCTTGAGCGAAGGTCAAAACCACGACATCCGCCTTGAGGAGTTCGTGGCGATCATTCTGGAAGCAGGCAAAACGCGCCAGGACATATACCACAACATCAATAACATGGACCATTGCATCAACACTTTCGACTGGTTTTGTCTCTTCATCATTGCCGCGGTCATGGTATTCTTCATTAGTAAGTCCCTCAGTTCGTCCCTCAAAAGATGTCTCTGACATGGACAGTGATTGCATACGTACCGGCGATGAAGGAAATTCAGAGTGTTTTGTCCTCTTTAGCTATTGGTCTCTCATTCGCTGTTGGTCGGACATTCCACCATCTTCTTGTTGGCATCGTCTTTGTTTTCTTCGACCACCCTTACGATATCGGCGACGTCATCAACGTCTGTAACGCTGGCGCAACTACAGGCATTGCCTGTACGGTCAAACGCCAGTCTCTTCTCTACACGGTCTTCAGACGACTTGACAACAACTGCGATTTGCAAATCTCCAATGAACAACTCACTCAAAAACGAATCGAGAACTACACGAGGTCTGGTATTAATCGTCAAGGGCTTTCCTTGTTCGTGGACTTCAGGACCAGTTTTACGGATATCATGCGTCTTCGAGGCATATTGGAGGAGTTTCTTGCCCAGAACTCTAGAGACTATGTCCCAGAGACACTAGGGTTGAACGTTGCAAGCCTTCATGAGCTCAACAAAATGGAGCTGAGAATTGCCTTCACCCATCGCAACAACTGGTCAGACGATAAACTCCGCTCTCAGCGGAGCAACAGATTCCACTGTGCTTTGGTATCTGCCTGCCGCTCTATTCCCCTTTATAAGCCAGGTGGTATGTCTCCATCCTCCGGAGAGAACGGAAATCCCATGTACACCGTTCAGCTAGATACCTCAGATGAGCTACAGGAGAACATCAAGAAGGAACAAGCTCGCCGACATGGCCTAAGATGGGACCATGTTGAGCAAGCTATAAATCAGGTCCATGATCAACAGGATTCCAACGATGCTGGGAATAGAAGGACTGAAGAGGAGACTAAAACAGACAAGGCAAAAGAACAGGAGGCTTTTCTCAAGTTAGCAAGACTTCCGATTGGGGACGAAAGAATGGGAGCCAGCACAGGTGTAGATTTACCGGCTTCTGGGACAGGCTTGCGCCAATCAAGCCGGCATCTTGTTTGATTGTAATTACAACCGACAGCCTTCTATTCTTAGATCAGCCGGTGGAAATATCCCAGTTGACTCAATGTTCCCCATGAGTGCCTGCAAACAAAGTACACATGCGCGTCGTTCTCCGCTCCTTTGTTTTTCGAGGCGCTCCCTCTTATCTTAGAGCCTTGACGCACGAAGCTCACCTTGAAAGCAACACTTGGGCCGGTCACTAGCCTTAGTTGGGGTTTCATCTGCCTCTTCTTCCTTTCGTAGTGGCAAATGCATATCCTTGTCGAGCAAATCTTTGTGACTTCAGGTTTTTACTGTCATCCCAGCCGTATCACAGTATAGTGACGGGTGGTTTCTACCCGTTTTTCGCGCTGTGAGCTGCAACAGCCTTTAGACATCTGACATGTTAGCAACTGGCTTAAATAATCACATTACCAGCTTGAATGAACAGTGCAAAGTCTAAAGTCGTTTTCGGCTTGTAGTACTTAAATAAGTCAAACGTCTCTTATTAACTACTTTATGTGACCCGATGGCATTTCAATGGCACTTGAAACCCTTCCACACTTGTATCAAGGTGAGCTGACTGGCTGTTGATTCTGAAGTCAAGCCTTCGGGTCTTCCTTTCTAAGAGAGAGCTTACATGTCACTGATTCTATCATCTTCACAACCATCATGTACGGTTGGCTCGGGTAATTGATCCCCGGACTCTGCAGGTTCTGTCTTTGAAATTTGGGGTTGGGGGCCAGTCGTTAGGTTTATGCAAACGGGCAGCTGCACTCAGAAAGCATTGGCAAAGTCCATTCCGAACTCTACTTGGATGATTCTCCGCACCCCATCTGAAACTGAAGCATCTATGAGAGGTTTCTGGCTGCCTATAGCTAGCGTGGCAACACATGATGTAGTAACGTCTATTCCAAGGAGAGCGGGTTGGAGTGATTCAGAGGTGAGGTCGACTACTTTGATCATGAGATCTGAGTGTGGAGCAAAACAAAAACATTACCGCTAGGTCGAAATAGAGCTGCGTCAATATATCCAGCGTCAAGGATTGATTTGAGAGTCAATTCATTGTCCGAGATTGCCTGTTGCACCGGCAATCCCAATGTGGAAAAAGGACATTTCGAAGTTGATTGCTTTGAAGCCTCTTCGAAATGTACGATGGTAAGTTAAATAGTCAAAAGAATCCTGGATCTTCTGGCTCATGTATAAAATTTCGACATTCTCTTATCAATAGTTGGAGAATCATGATGAACGCTACTGCCACTCTTTTATTGCTTCGTCATTATCACACCTATCTCTTCCCGATTCTATTGGATCGCGGGGTCACTTCTGATATTGGGGCCAGCTGTGGACACACCATCGGTACTGGTCATCGGAGCCGATGACCGGTAGCGAGATTTCGGGTCCGAAATACGCATGCGCGATACGCCAGCTTCCGAGTCGAATGACAAACCAAACATCGGTAATCGAAAACCGATCTCTGCCGAGCCAATAATCCGCCGTCTCACTCTATCAAGAAGAAAATCTGCTACCGGCATGCCAATCAAGTAATTACTCCCTGATAACGTGACCCATGTCAGTGCTTAAGTTCATGGAGATCTCCTGCAAAGGGCGTGCCGACAGAATTGTAGCAAAAACTTGGTGTTATTTTCTGGGTGACTGTTTGAAGATAAGTGATTTGTCCAAAATAGAGCTTATTGAACTGAATTAGTTGTCGTCTACGTAGCATATTACAATCCTCCACCAACTTGGCAGAAACCCTTCCTTACAAGCTTTGGGGTATAGTTGATGAAATGAACGAACATGGGCTATAACCCATTGGTATCAACTTGCAGCACTCAGATACAACGTCTCCAACCGAATCAAAAGTTCTCCACAGCTCTCCTATTCCTTTCCCTCATCCCTAACTTTTTGTCGAATAATGGGTACATTTAGATGTTCATGTAAGCAGCCATACCACCGAAGAGGGCAGCAGCGCCAACAGCGGCAGTGCGCATAGGGCCAGCCTGAGTGCTGGAGGAGGTGGTGCGGACACCACCACCGTTGTTGGCTCCAGTCTCAGTGGCGAGGGGAGCAGTTGAAGTGGGACCGGTGATGCCGCTGGTGAAGGGGTTGCTGCCGTCGGTGGCAGTACCAGCGCCAGTGTATGCGGGCGCGCGGGTGGAGGCCGTGGTATCAGGCTCCACGGACGTGTTGTTGGGGTTCAAGACGCTGAGGATAGTCAGTGAAAATGTTACAGGTCTGCTTCATTTGCAAGGACTTACTTGTCGATGACGTGGACAACACCGTTGGCTACAAGAACATTGGGGATGAGAACCTCGGCCTCGTTGACGTAGACGGTCTCATTGATGACACGGATGGTGACGTTTCCTCCATTGAGCGTAGTCAATGAAGTGTTCGTGATATCGGGGCTGTACAAGACGGCGCCGGCGACGACGTGGTACTGGAGAATGCTGGGCAGCGCCGCGGTCAGGTTGGCGGTGAGGTTACCGATAGAGCGGAAGGCCTCATTGTTGGGGATGAAGATTGTCAGATCCTTTGCGGCGGCAAGAGCGGGGCCGACGTTTGCGGCCTGGACAGCACCCAAAGCAGCAGTGAGGTTGGCAGCACGAAGGGTGTCAGGAATCGGCTGGGGAACGCTCAAGACCTTGTCGATGATGTGGATGGTTCCAGCGGTGAAGTTGACATTGCCGGCCGTGACGGTCGAGTTTTCTCTCAAGGCAGAGTAGAAAGTGACGTTACCACCAACAGTCTGGGCCTGAACGCGCTGACCGCCGGTGACGTTGGCATAAGTCTCGTTCGAGAGCAGGGTGGGGATAAACTGCGGCTCTTCGGTGAACTGGGAGGCGTAGTAGGTGCCGTTCAGGACGTGGTACTGAAGAATCGCGGCGACGAGGCCGGGGTTGGTCGCCGCACCTTGGGCACCAGGGCTTGCGAGGAATGCCTCGAGGGCGGCATTGCTAGGTGCCAGGATGGTGATGTTCTGTGCTTGGGAAAGAGCTTCGACCAGAGCCGGCTGGGTGCCTAGGAGTGCTGTGAAACGTTAGAGGGCCTCATTTGACGGGAATTGGTGGCCGCTTACCTGTGAGAGACGACAAGCTAGAGTTCTGAGAAGCTAGAGCAGCCGTCAAGCTTTGTTGGCTCTGGGCGAGCACAGCGCTGGCCAAAGCCAGAGGGAGAAGGGTTTTGACCTGCATAGTAGATGCTTTGTGTACAGAGAGCGGATTCTAGTGGGTCGACTGGGTTGGGTATCAAAGCTACAAGTGATGCGAACTGCTCGATATTGGAGAACAGAAACTCGGCGGTGGAGGTGGCAGCATTTAAAGTAATGTGAAGGCTCCTCGTCGGGAGTTGGCACGAATCATGCAAAACACCTTGGTGAGTTCGGTCCAAGAGTGATCAAACCAATCGCGTCGTCGTGGGTTACCAGATCGAGCCGAATCAAGCTTGTTGCCCAGGCTGAGTGAAGAAACCAGGAGGCCTGCCGGGCTTCTTGTCCCCAGACAAGGGTCTTGGTCGACATCACGACCGCGCCAGGGACTGGGACTTTGGACTGGACCGGGGCAGACACGCAGACCAGGGGGTGGAGAAGCCTCGCTAGCTCGCAAAAAAGCACGACGCTGGCAGAGGACCAATGAGCTGTTCAACAGGATCGCCAGCCGGGTGCCAAGTCGATCGTGAAGTCGTTTTTGGCCGGCGTATACGCCAAGGGGGGGGGGAGGGGGGCTTGCACTGGCTCAGCATTGATCGAGACCCAACACCATGGCAAGGCAATGGTCTTGCCAGTGCCTTCATTGTCTTGCATAGAAGTCCGAAGGCCTTTCACGAGCCATAGCTAGCAGCTGCAGTCCTAGACTGCTAGCTATGCTTGTGCTAAACGAACCCCGTGATGGTGTTCGAGAGGCAATTCCCGTCCGAACATGCGACTGCAAGTCCCGTTGCGGTCAGATTAGCATTCTGCCGACTGATTCCACGACGCTAAGTAGACAATGCGGAATGCTAGGGAACCACCTAGATGTGAGAAGCTTGGGATATCCGAGTCTGGGACGCCATTGACAGCATGTCGGGTCTTGGAAGTTGCGTAAGCCTGCGCCCGACTGGCACAGGTTGGGTGAGGGGGAATACAGAAAAAAGTCGATGTCGTCAGGATAGGCCGCTTAGCGCCATTGAAGACGGGAGAGACTCCGATGGCGCCGAACAACGAGCCGTGCAATGCTGGATGGTATTCCAGCTTGGCATGCGTGCCGGCGGGCTGCCAACATGGCAATCCTTGCTCAAAGTCATAGCTACTCTGAACACAGAGTGTATCCGTAAGAACCGCGCGAAACCGAGCCTATAGATGTTCAAGGGTAGGTATCGCTCTTTTGATCGTCTTATGCTTTGGCTTATTGTTACCGTAATCTGCCATTGAACCTAGACTGGGATTATCAAACGACATGTTTTCATCGACGATACCTGGCTACTACGAGTGTCGTCAAGACGAGACAAAATTCGAATGAGAAGGGGAAGAGATGTTCAGGTTCGTGTAGCATTGCAGCCGCTTTCCCCGCAATAGCCAAAAGGATAGTCGACCCCAATGCAGGGCCAGTCGGGCCATTCCCATTCTCCCCTTGGCTTCGCCCTAGTTAGTGTCTCGTCTCCATGGTGTGCCAGTTATTGGCGAGGTGCTCCGGTTAGACGCCAAATCCACCGAGACACGTATCCGCGATCGGTTTAGTGGCATGGTGAAAGCGTGGCCAAGCAAACGGACATGGGGGAAGCTCCTTGGAACCCAAGAGCTCTAAAGGCCGGCTGTGCCGACTCCATCACATTGCGTTATAGCCATTGACGATAGTATCATAGAAACGGTGCGTCATCGATTCACTTGACAGATCGCAACTTTGGCGCTTATTCCATAAAGTGCGCCAATGGCGCATTTCTCTCCCTAGGAACCGTTGCTTGGCAGCTGCACTTTCTCCAGCCATGCATGTCCTTACCCGGCATCCAGAATGCAACAGAGTTGAACCCGTTGAGGCCTCCGCTGGTGTCTGAATGAGCCACTTCTCGGTGACTGTTTCCCGACTGTCCATCAAGTTGCGAGCGAGGGGCGCATGCTGGCGCGTTTCGAGTTCGGGAATTTATCAAATCTGGGCATCGCCACGATGTTCACCATCGGAAGAAGCGCGAGGGGTCGTGGGGGAAAATATTGGGTATCTTTTCGTAAAGCCAAATCGGGACTGTTGGGTCTCTCCCGTCATCCTCCGTGAGCTTGGCAAGGCTCCGCGTGCACCGCCGACACCTCTCTGCTATGTGCATCCGTAGTTGCGCCCGAATTCTGCTTTGCGAAAGCAAATGAATCCATCCGAGGCCGGAAAACAGTAATGGGATGCTCTAGACTTAACCCAGTGCTGGGCCAAATACGTCGTCACCTTCCGTGACCTTTCGTCGCTTGGCATCCCGCGCCTCATTACCGCCGAGTCCTCCGCCATTACCGCCGAACACAGATCCGTCACCTTCACCTTTCGGTATCCGCGTCTCTTTCTGAGAAGCCAACTCTCGTCGAGCCTTTTGCAGGGCCACGAGATCTGCGCGGTCGGGGTCTCTGCACCTTTTCAGCTTTCGAATCAGAGGTTTGATCACCTTCGTCGCCTCGACCTGTATCCTAGTCAGTCTTGTCACGATCTAAGTCAGGCGACGCATGAACTCAACATACAGTTCCCCAATACTCGTCCAATCTCTCGGGCGGCTCAGTCGCTAACAGCTCCCTACACGCCTCGATGGTTCCCATAACCTTATCCCGTATGTCGTGTCGGGCGAGGTCTTTCTCGCCATCATTCGAGGTGCCGTTTTGAACGGATCCAAAGGCGCTTTGGACGAGTTTCTCGGCCAGACCTCGATCAGCTAGAGAAAGTGCGGCAAGCATGATCTGGCTCGGGGTGTAATGAAAGTACGCGTCTGTGACGAGAGAGCTAAATTTGAGGAAAGCGCGGGCACGGAAATGAGCGGCATCGATTCGGTTTTTCTGTACGTTTCGTCAGAAGAGTGCGGAAAAGTGCAGCGTTAGTACGCGAGATTCACAACGTACCTCGAGGTCGGCATGACGCCGAAGTTCCAGGATCGCTCCTTCCAACGCGCGGAACGGGTGCCTGACGTCGAAGGCAAACCGAACTCCTTGGCACAGCAAAAACTCCCCTGCGAGAATCTCCTCCTCAGTCGTGTTGGGGAATTTGTCGGCCAGCTTAGCCAGGCGGGTGTACAGTCCCTCAGCCTTGCTTCCGAAGAACAGACAGGTCTTGAGGATATCCTGAGGCGGGTACGTCATGATGGAGTTGGTGACGTAGAATCGACGGAGGAAAACGGTCGCGGTCGCTCTAACCTCTGTCGGAAGCCCACAGAAGTCCGCAGCGCGAATCAACTCCACGGTGAAGAACTTGAGCAGTTGCGTCTCCTCGGGAGGTGTCAAGAACTCTGGCATCGACTCGGCGGCATCGAGGTCCACGCGTTTCGTTTCCACAAGGCGACTCGTAATATTTGTCTTCGCTAGAGAATTAGTCTGTTCTCGCAATTCCGCTAGTTTGGCCGGAGAGAACGACCACAGTCGATATTGTGTCGAAAGTCGGTATCGCGCATCTTCGGTTGCCATCACGGCAAACTGGCAGGTTGTGAGCAACCGATTGAGGGTACTTTTAACTGTGGTCGCGAGATGAACGAGGTGGATGTTGGCGCAGTGTAGATGGAGCGATCGTTACGAAGAGGAGTTGTTGCGGGGAGGTTCTGTCGTCTTTCGTCCAATAATAGAGGGGAGAATTGGTTCATTGATCTAACATCACAACCCTTAGGTCAAACCGTGGGAAAGAGAGTCTGTCTGGGATGAAATGGAAGAAGGCCCAGCGACCTTATCGATGCTGGCCGATAAGCTGAGCTGCCCCGGCACCTCAGGCGGGCACATGGGATCTGCTCACCTCAGGCAGAAGGCAGCTCGGGCCACAACCAGCCCACGTGATGTGGCGCAGCTTTTTCTTTTCTTTTCTTTTCTTTTTCGATGCGGGGCAGATTGTGGCTGGTGAGGTAAGGTCGTGAAATAACCTACCTGACCTCTAAGGAGGGCAACCAGAGGAGGTAGGTGGGTAGGCATCTACTGGGATAATGGCCTCCAACGCGGATATGAACACCGTGAGCAAACGACCGTCGCCCATTTAGGAAATCTCCTTCGATTTCACAAACCAGTCTTGCCTTTAGGACCCGATGCCTACTTCGAATATCAGTTCTGATCCCCTACGCCGTAGCATGGTCGCGTTAGGAGGTTGTTCTATGACCGTGGTACTCAAAGTCAGGCTCTAAGATACTGCCTCATATTGCACGCCATGCCGAAAGGCTCGGAGCAAAGGTCACTCATGGCGCAAACTTTGACAATCTTGGGGACTATCAGCCAGGGAAATAGAATCCATGCTTACTCAGTATCTGGAGAGTCGAACCCGGTCATCTCTAATCCATACATTCTTCTTGTCAGAAGCTATGCGATGAGGGAACCAATAGTTGCGGATCCAGCCCACGGATATTAACACGCCCAAACGCCCTGCTCCTGTTAGGAGCCCCTATAACCCGTCACGGATTGAACAGTCTATTGATGCATTGAGACCGGAGACAACAAATATCGCACATCACTACGCCCGCCCACTGCCGTCTTTGACAGAAGAATCTCAAAAAGCGGTGTATATCTAGTACCCAACCTCCCGCTTAGCGGGGACTGGGGGCGCCGGCTTCTTGGCTCGGCTCGGGGGAGGAGGCGGAGGTGCTTTCTTGGCTTGCAGGTTGCTTGTGCTCCGAGTCAAGCTGCTTCCCATGCTGGTGGCCGGGCTGGCACTGCGATCATTCCATTCCGGGCTGCCGCTACCGCTTACCGTCGTGTGATCATCGTCGGCAAACACATCGCTCGCCATTGGTCTACCGGTAGGCCTCAGATTCCCACGCAAAGATCCAATGTGAGAAACGGCAGGCACTGGCGGAGTAGCAGCCATGGATCGTCGGTCGGTCGCAGCTGGCCCCTGGAAAGTCTGAGACCTACTAATAGACGGCCTCGGGGTTGTGTCGGCCGACGCGCCAAACTTGACCTCTGATCGTTGGGAGCGGATGGGCATACGGACGGGCATCGGTTCTGGTTCCTCCTCAACGTGACTGTTGCGCGCCGAATAGTCATTGAACGAGCGGGCCGTGTTGGACCGTCCGCGACCACCGTTCCCATAACGGCGATCGGTTGGCGAGGGAGGCGCATTGCCGCCCGCCCAATTCTGACGCAGACGGCGAAGCTCCTCGGCGCAGCGTTCGTGGTAGTTCAGCTCGGCGTCGAGTAAGCCAGTCAGGTCGCGAACATTGTCCGTCTCTGCATCCTTGATATCGGACATGCGTCGCATGACGTCTTCACCAGCTTCCTCATACTTTGCGCGGGCAGTACGGAGCTCTTCCTCGAGGCGGAAATCCTCGCGCTTCGTCTTTTGCATTTTGCTGATTGCTGCATCGTAGGCCAATCGGCGCGACTCGAGCTTCTTCCGTGCGGCCTGGCGGAGAGTGTGTCAGATGGGATGGGCTGAAACCACGTATGGACGAGCCATGACGTCGGTACGTACCTGATACTCTTTCATCATTGCCAAAGATCTTTCGACCGAGACAAGCCAGTTATCAGTAACTTCTGAGGCATAGCTTTCCTGGATAC